TTTTTTTTTTCCCCCCCCCCCCCCAATGCCCGCTCACCCCGTCGTCAAATGCCGCGCAGCCAAACGCATAAGAATTTTTCTACTTTCAAAGACGAATGAAAGTGGCTTGGATTTTCCAAAGGAGTCGCAAGTCGGCAAACGCGACTCCTTCGGGGCCAAAACCGTGCTTTGCCCTATAGGTCAAGCTCGCCAACTCGAAGGAACGAAGTTCGCTCCATCATCCACCACCTACGTTCGTCGTTCCGCCGATGAAAAGAAGAATTTACCCACGCAAACTACACGCTCGATTATACATCGGTAATCTCTGTAAGGCCCATTGCACCAATTAATAATCGATAAAGAAAAACCGGGGCACAAGCATTTAACTCCTCGCCCAATCCAGGTACTTTTCCGCGACGAGCCCGTCGCAGTCGCCTCGTGTCGTTTGTCTATTTCGGGCGTGTCGGGCCGAGTCGTCTAAAACCGGCGACGGGCAGCGGACAACAGTCGTGAAAGTCAAGAGGCAACGACTCCGAGCTTTCACGGTACGGACAATCCGCGCCCCGCCGCTTTTAATTGGGGTCCCCCCCCCCCATCACCGCCACCACCATCCCGTGGCGAGGCGGTACCTCCTTCACCTGTCGCTTGGCCCTCCGCTTGGCCCTCCTTTTGGCTCTCCGCTTGGCTCTCCGCTTGGCCCTCCGTCGGCACACGAGATACGCTCTTTGAAAATAGACGCTTGACCGTCCAGCGCTCATACGGAGTCGGTGATCGCGTGGGTGGATGACTTTTCTTCCTCGGACCCCTAGATGGCGTAGAGGGTTTAGGATTATCGCGGTACTCGGCCACGACAGCAAACGGATTCTATTTTGCTGTAACGCGCTGCCACGGTACATACCCCGGACTTTCCATTTCGACTTTTCCCGTTCTCCTCCACGCGACTCTGCTACGACGATGCACCAGCTCGAGATTCCAAATGACCAAGATGATCTAGGGATAGACTAGGGGCACACGTAATATTCAGCTCGTAATATTCGTTCCTTATGAATTAAGCGAGCGATTAATGCATTTGTTGTGCTGATCATAGCTCTGATTAAGTCGTTGGATAAAGTCAAAGTTGCTGCCGCGTGTTAGTGTGCAGTTTCGCAATGACAAATCCGCAGATTATTAGTCTAAATTTAAAAGCGAGCATTGGTTTTGGAATAATGGATCGTTAAGTGGCCATTGGACAAGGGCAACGCCACTCACGTTCCTCGCAACATAGATAATAAGTGGCCTTTGTGGCTTTCGTGGATTAGAAATCAATTACCAGGTGAAAAGTCTGGCTCGGTACTGCTAAAATTAGTTCGGCCACTACGAGTTCTCGTTACTGCAACATTTATTAAAAAGTAATGGCGAATCTCGCAATTTATAAGAGACGCCTAATATTTAATATTTTTAATCCCTATGGATTAATCGCTCGTGAATCATAATTTTAGAATGGCGCCCGTTGGAACTCATACTTCCGCAATTATTTGGAGCTTATACAGGTCATCGAACTTGTTGTTTACAATATTGATGGCAAATGCTTATAATGTTGTTGTCTGACGAAACCCGTTCAACGTTCGTCTGCATTCGGAAAAGTCGCGACGAGTCGTGAAATTGAAAAATCGCTGTCCAATCGGATGTGCAATCACTGTAGTTGAGAGACGCGCCATGTTAATCGTTAACGTTCCACGACATTGAAACAGCAAACAAGTAAGTACACGCTCATCAGGCAAATAAACTCGTTGAAAGTTAAAATTTTTCTATCCACGAGGAACATTAATCAATCTGTTTGTCCCAATGTGATGAAACATAAAATGAAAATAATGGCAATTAACCTAAGTATACTTATGAATTGCAAAATTTCACAGGTAAATAGCGAAATAATTTCCATATACATGCAACCGAAATTTATAAGACTATTTTTTTTATTTTTATATATATATATATATATATATATATATATATATATATATATATATATATAACTGTACACTTCACAATGTGCATTAGTTTGTAATGGTAATTTTATTTCCGTTTACGATCTCTAAACTATTATTCAAATTTAGCACAATTTTCTCCTCTTCCTTTCTCTCCCTTTAACATTTCATTCTATCGAGATCAATCTAGACATAAAAACCATTTGTTATAAATGTAAAAATAGACGAGAAAAATGACTCTTACAAATGTATACGTACGATGTGAAGCCGTAAATGTTTTTCCCAATTATTTGTATCCGGAATGACAGAATGAAATATTCGTGAAATGCTAAAGCATTACCGAGCACTCCCCTGTATTTTAAGTTTGTGCGAGAAATTATGACGACAAATAATAAATTATAAAAGCAACGGCATCACAAAATTCATACAATACTACTACATATGTAACATTCAACAAGAAATAATTTATATTCATATCTTGGCTTTGTGCGACTAAATAAAATTACTAAACTACTGCACTTACGGGCAAACTTAAATTTAATCGCTTTGATTATTTTTGATGTTTTTTTCTTTTTTCTTTTTTTCTTTTTCGTAAATTCTATAATCTTGTCCGACATCCCGAGCGCCCGAGAAAAATAAAATACGACGTTCCAATACATTTTGTCGTAAAAATTATGAATTACATTCCGATGGAAGATCGACGTATCCGACCGGAGAAATAAGCGCGCCCAACCCATCATTCAGCGAACAAACACCACCGCTCCCCCGGGTGAAAATGAAAAATTGTTGTTTTATTTTTAAGTCGTAATAATTGAGTGGAAAAATAGATTCCACAGAGCCTCGACGTGTCAAAGTAAGAAGGTTTCCACTTAATTGACAGCTTCGAACGGCAATGATTGACGAACGTCTCCCAAGCCACTTCTTTTCTCCTCTCGATCTCGATCCGCGGAACCCTCGCGCTCGTTTAACCAGCGCCCATGACCACTTTTACATTCGACCCATTATCCGATCTCGCGAATCTCGTCTGACCCTTCTCGCTACATCCCCGGCCGAAGGAAATGCGCAATAATCGCTTACGCCGTAATTCGCGCTCCAAGGAGATAAGGACTCGCGTCATTGGGGCATAATCGTCGGAGGATCGCGGCGTCATGATGATGTTTGCTGGCGTTATTCGCGGCAACGGCCACGGCAGTAGCGACATAAGCTGGCTGTGTGTCTCTCAGCAACAAAGCTAACTCGACGGCCGCATTCTCTCACTTGCTGGTAGAGGATCGTTGTAGCCGTAGGGACGTAGCCGCCGACGTACGAAGGACTTCCTGCCGACGCGCGTGTACGACGGACCTGCAGCATGATAATAGAGGAGTGACGGTGACTTGGCCGTTGGAATTTTAGATCCTTGGCGACGGAGCTGCTTTGCTTTGCTATCTATTGCTTCTTCGAGGCTGGCGGGCGCGGCGATCGGTGTGAAATTGCTGTTCGCCATTCCGGAATCCAAGGACTCTTCGCGTAAGTCTGTCCTTCCGAGGTTGAGAATCCTCGGCGGCAACCCGATGATACATCATACACTCGAGCGCACTTAAATCTCTTACTTTAATGCACGTCCGTACGTAGAAGTTATCGTTATGGGTTCGGGTCCTTGGATTTCCATGCATTTCGATGATTTTGATTAACGATCGACACCCGACATATTACCGACGATTCACGGATTTCATTACAACTTTTACGCTTTGGCTCGCAAATTATTGTATTATTTTGGGTGAACGTCAAGTTTATGTAAAATTTTATAACTGCAGGAGAGTTACTAGTAATATTGCATAAATTATATTAATGCTTAATCGTATTTAATCGATTAAGAAAAATTTGTGAAACAATGTTTTTTTTTTTTTTTTTTTTTTTTTTTTTTTTTTTTTTTTTTTTTTTTTTTATGATAAAGCTTTATTGATATTATGGTACTTCTACAAATTTCAATAAATTACAAAACTCGTAAGATTTAATATTCAATTTATGCGAACTAATATTAGAATTTGCGAATTTAACGAAATTGCCGGATTGTCAATTTTACTAATGTCAAAATGATTGTCAAAGTGATCAAAAGAATTGACTGCCTACGCGAAAAATCATAAATTCTAAAATCCTAATAATAATCATGTATTTCTACTATAATTTCCTTGCGATTTGCGTGCTTAAATTTTACAAATATTAATCAATGCAACGTTAGCATAAATAATTGTACCGACTAACCGACACTTTATCATCGAATGCGAAGAAAAAACTTTCTCCAAACGTCTGTTATTATTCGTGAATAAATTATTAATTTCTATTTTTGCCATTTGATATTTGGTTCAAAATAAACCTTTTACTATTTAAAGTTAAAAAAAATGATTTGAATTAAATTACGATTGTTAATGTGCGCAATGTTTGGCATAATATTTTATTAGTAATAATTTTCATGATATATCGCGTGATAATGAATTATTCAATCAAAGTATCCGAATATAATTGTAATACAGGCATTATTG